ACACACACACACACACACACACACACACACACACACACACACACACATTTTAAGAGGAGATAATTCCCATCCTTCCACCTCCAGGAACTTTGTCCACCATTGTAGAGGGGTAAGTAAGATACTCGTGATGGAGATAGAGTCCTCGGCTTATGACCATAACGGAGCCTGCCTATCGCGGTCATAACTCACGACAGCTATCAAATCGAGTCGCCCGTGTGGCCGACCCAACTTTACAGCCTTTATTTGCTAGTGACATTAAATGAGTCCATCTGGCCATTAGACGTATCTCACAATTAACTGAATCGGGCTTTGCCATCATCCTAAAATAATTTTGATCATATGACCGCCGGGATGCAATAAGTGTGAAAAACGGCGGTGCGTCCCTCCTTTCAACGCCCTTGTGACTTCGGTCGCTAAACGAGCGAGTTGTAAGTCGAGGAGCCGCCTGCAGAACAAGGGGGGGAAAAAAGCCCAATTAAAAATTGGATTTGAATCGAACACTATAAAATTTGGGGAAAATGGTATGACTGGATCGAACAAAGATAGTTAAATGGATGATGAATCAATGATAAGTAATATATAAGTTAAATGTTTATATTTGCATAAATTGTATATATTTGTAAATAATACACAAAATAATCGTATAAGAAGATGTCACAATTTGTCAAATCTAAGATACTTTTACTTTTACTTTTTCTTGTTTTTTGTTTTTTAAAGTTATAAAAGATTAATTAAGTTTACTAAAAAAAATCGGATGTAGCCCGATTTGGTTGTTTACAGCTCGCTCTCGTTCACCGGACAGGTTGACCCCTCGTTCCTTGTCTCTCTTTCAGAACGGCCGGTCGGTCAGTAAGCGAGGCGTGAGCTGCCAGTTCGGTCCCGACGTCACGAAGGGTTTCCTGGAAAGCAACCACCTAGACTACATCATTCGAAGCCACGAGGTGAAGCCGGAAGGATACGAGGTGGCTCACGACGGGAAGTGCGTCACCGTTTTCTCGGCCCCCAACTACTGGTGAGTCGGGGAGTGGGGGGATTGTGGTGGGACAGACCCTCCCCCCCTTAAATGGATACCCTGAAAGCGGGTAGGAATTTGGGAAACCCCTTCCCCAACTCACAGTTGTCATTTTTGCAAATTCAGTTTGGTGGGCGTGGCTTGGCGCGTGGTGCACACGTTTTGGGGGGGCGCATGCCCGCCCAACACACACTTGGCGCCGGCGGCAGAGGTGTCCCAACTTACCTCCTGCCAGCCCTCTTCCTGTCGCTTCAGCAGCTGCCACGTGGCACCGAGCTGTGCCGCGCAAAGCAGCTGCGCTTCGAAAGCGGAACCTGCAGGTGAGTATGGGAGCTCGGGCAGGCAGGTGAACCCAATAGCCGAACGGTTTGGAGAGAACCGCTCATTGGCGCTACCAGCTCGGCCAACCCGGTACAATACCGCCACTAGTTTGCCCCGGAGATTGTTCAGGGTGGAACCTTTTGCCCCCCCAAAAAGGGGGGGAAAAAATGCAGATTAGCAGGATGTCCTTCCCTGGGGGAGAGGAAACCCCCCCCCTCAGCACGTCCAGGCAGTCCTCACCTTACGACGGTTCATTTCGCGGCCATTCGGAGTTACCGCGGCCCCGGAGATAGGGGCTTGCGACCGTTTTTTTTTTCGTGCTTAACGGACGTTGCCCACATGCTGTTGGGGGAGGGGGGGGGGAGAGACAGCCGCTTCCCGGGCTCCTCCTGAGGACAGCCGGCCCACCCTCTTCTCCCCCCTCCCCTCCCCCCCCCTCTGTCGCCAGTGACCAGATGGGCAACAAGGGAGCCTACATCCACTTGCAAGGCTCGGACCTCCAGCCGGAGTTCCACCAGTTCACAGCAGTGGTGAGTCCCGGCTTCCGGGGGGGGGGGGGGCGGGGGCCCGGGGGGGGGGGGGGGGGGGGCGCTCTCGGGGGGGGAGAGGGGGGCTGCCCTGGGCTCGGGCATCTGGGTGAGGCACCCCGGGAGGAGAAGGTGGTTGAATTCACTGACTTCTCTTTCTTTTTTTCCTTCCTCCCTCCCTTCTTTCCCTTCTCTGCTTTTCTTTCCTTTTCTCTCGAATTCTTCCTTCCATTCTTCCCTCCTTTCCTGTTCTTTCCCTTCCTTCTCCCTCTGTTCCTTTTTTCTCCGTTCCTCCATCCTTCCTTCCCTGCTTCCTCCTCCTTTCCCTCCACTCCTTTTTTTTCTTCCTTCCTTCCTTCCTTTTTTCTCTATTCCTCCATCCTTCCTTCCCTGCTTCCTCTTTTTTTCCTTCCACTCCTTTTTTCTTTCCTTCCTTCCTTCCTTTTTTCTCTATTCCTCCATCCTTTCTTTCCTGGTTCCTCTTCCTTTTCTCCCTCCCTTCCTCCCTTCTCTATTCTGCCTTTCTTTTCTCTGTTCTTTCCTTTTTTTCTCTTTCTCCATCCTTCCTTTGCTTCTTCCTCCCTCCCTCCCTGCCTTCTGTATTCTGCCTTTCTTTTCTCTCTGTTCCTTCTTTTCTTTTTCCTCTATTTCTCCATCCTTCTTTTTCTAATTTCTCCTCCTTCTTTCCTCCCTTCCCTTTCAATTCCTCCTTCTCTATTCTTCCTTCCTTTCACTTTTCCTTTATTCTTCCTTCCTTCTCTATTCTTCCTTCTTTTTCTCT